GCCACCTGCTGGTCACCTTGTTTGTGCCTCACTTCTTCCTTCAGAGGTTCTCCTCCCCACTGTAAGGACAAAGAGGGGAAGTCATTTAGCAAGGCCACGGTCACCAGGGGGCAGGGCTGGCTCATGCTGGGCTTTGGTGCTTTCCATGGGTTGTGACCTCAGGTCAGGGCTCCTTCCTGGACCCCGCCTCATTGCTCTGGGTCAACAACGAGGAGCAGAAATGGTTTGAGATGAGCTGGGTTTGGGGGTCCTCCTTCTCCTGACTCACACTAACTGCTCCCACCCACAATCCCTTCTAGAATCATTAGGGTGCCGCCTCCAGTCCTTTCCTGAAGGCTTGGCCTCTGTGTCTGAACCTGAGGGCTCCAGTCCACCCTCTGCAGCTGGCCTGCCCAGCTCAAGGCTTTGGGGGTGCAGGGTGCTGCCTGCAGTAGCAGCCCAGGGGGAGCAGGTCTTGGGCCCCCGAGGCTTTCAGGAACAGGCCAGGAAATAGAGGGAACTCAGCAGGAAGCTTGGGGTCACTGTCAGGGCCCGGGTCTGACATCCATGAAGCCTGGAACCCATGGGCAGGACTGTGTCAGCCCCTGCTCCCAGAGGAGGAAACCAAGGCTTGTTCCACCTTTGCCTCAGCTTCTCTGTGCAGCCTTGGCCAGGCCCTGACCCTCTCTGGGCCTCACACCCTCACTCTAAAGGGAAGAAATCAGAGGAGGTGATGTGACATGGGAGGTGGGTGGAGGTGCTCACCTGGGCTGGAAACCTTCCCCCACCTCCCCCTGTAGCCTCTCACCTCCTGACAGACACCCCTGTAATTTAGAGTCCAAGGTTTGTGCACAGAGGACGTCATTCATTTGGCTCTCTCCCAACTCCCCTTCATCCAACTTGAGAGTGAGGTTATGAATCGGTGCTGGCTCATACCCTTGCTCAAGGGTACAGCAGTGGCCCTGCCCAGGCCTGACACCACAGCCACTGGCCTTGAGGCCACTCATCACATGTCCCTACCCTGCTGAGACCCACCCATCTCCTGACCTCAGGCTCTGATAGATAGTGACTTCCACCACCATGAAGGCTCAGCCAAGCCCAGCCGGGCAGCACAGGGACAGCCAGGGACATGTACAACCCCTTTTAGCACCATCTATAGTGCTGACATGCAGCTAGTTAAAGAAAAAGACAAAGGTGTGTTCCACAGCGTGTGGCTGGCTCTCTCTGGATTATTTAGACATGAAGGCCAGGAAAAGAGGTGGTAGCAAGAAACAGCTTTCACTTCCCTTTTATGTCTGGGTGGAAAGAAGCATTTCCAAAGGTCACAGCAACAAGTGAAGCTCAGGGTTTCTCATTCCCAAATCCTTCTCCATAGGTTTTCCTGGCTCAAAGTCAGGGGTGCAGGTCTCTCCACCCTATTAGTTAAGGGTGCTCATGGCTTCTCTGCAGCTCTGCCCTCGGGGTCCCCAACTGTATGGAGAGCAGGTTGAACTGAGGGCCTGCAGGAGGGCACTTCTCCCCACAGAGCTGGAGGGTCCTGGCCTGGGCAGAGCTGGAGCCTAGGGAGCTCTGGGGTCAGGGCTGGGGCCTAGGGAGCTCTGGGGTCAGGGCTCCATGGCTGTCCACGTGTGGCTGAGGGTGACACTGCCCTCCCCCACCTCTAGCAGAGTCTCCTCCCCCTGGTCCAGCGACAGGCCCTGCCCCTTGCTATTGCCGCATCCTCAGCCATGAAACACAGACCCTCACATCCCGTCACCCAAAGGCTTTGAGTTGGCAACACCCACAAGCCCTTCCGTCAAGGGGACACTCCCTCGGAGCCCTTCAATGCACTTTTGGGGTTGAGAATTCTTTAATTGTCCCAAGAACCCCCACTTTATATGTGGGGCCACACAAGGAGCAGAGAGTTCTAATAACCTGTCCTGGCTCACACAGCTGGGGAGGGACAGGGCCCTCTAGCTCCCCCAGTGTCAGCAGGACAGCAGATGGACCACACAGGATGCCCGCCCACCTTGGGGCTGAGGTCACAGGCAGCCTAGGCATGCCCCTCTTCACTCAGGGCTGAGGCTCCATCAGGGTCAGGTGGGGACAGCCCCTGGGGGCTCTAGCCCAGGTCTACCATGTCCTCAAGGGGTCCAAGTGCCAGGTGCTTCCTCTGCAGGCAGCAGGTTCCTCACAGTACATAGCCTCAAGGTCACTGCAGCTGCCAAGTGCACAGGCCAAAGGGTGGGCTCAGGACCCTACCGGCCAGTGCCTGAGCTGGTCCCCTACTGCACTTGCTGGCTGACGCTGGATGAGCACCTGAACCCCTCCAGGCTTTGAAGGAGAACAGTTGTCCCCACAGGACTGTGAAGGAAGCAGAGAATTCACACCCTTTAAGGCTCAGGGCAGCTCTGCGTCTCTCTCGGGGTTTGCAGTGATGCAGGAGGAGGAAGGGATTGGCACAGGCTGGGCCATCCTGGAGCTCACCACACCCTGGTAGCTCTGCTACAGAGTCATTGTGGGCCAAACTCAGGCCTCTGACCTCCTCTGCCTTGCAGGACGATGCCGTCCTCTATCTCGTGGGGCCTCCTGCTGCTGGCCAGCCTCAGCTGCCTGGCTGCTGGCTCCCTGGCTGAAGATGCTCAGGAGACAGATGCATCCAAGCCCGACCAGGAGCACCCAGCCTGCCACAAGATTGCTCCGAACCTGGCCGAGTTTGCATTAAGCCTCTATCGTGTGCTGGCCCATGAGTCCAACACCACCAACATCTTCTTCTCCCCTGTGAGCATCGCCACAGCCTTGGCCTCGCTCTCGCTGGGCACCAAGGCTGACACTCACACCCAAATCATGGAGGGCCTGGGCTTCAACCTCACAGAGATCTCAGAGGCTGACATCCACCAGGGCTTCCAGCATCTTCTCCAAAACCTCAACAAACCCAACAGCCAGCTCCAGCTGACCACTGGCAACGGCCTCTTCATTGACCACAATCTGAAGCTGCTGGACAAGTTCTTGGAGGATGTCAAGAACCTGTACCACTCAGAGGCCTTCTCCACCGACTTCACAAACACCGACGAGGCCAAGAAGCAGATCAACACTTATGTGGAGAAAGGGACCCAAGGAAAAATTGTGGATTTGGTGAAAGATCTGAACAGAGACTCAATTCTCGCCTTGGTGAACTACATTTTCTTTAAAGGTAAGATAAGACAATCAGCCTGAGTGGGTTCCCATGGAAACTCCAAAGATGTTTTCCTTCCACCAGTTCTGGAACTTTCCTTGGTAGCACTTTCTGCACTGTGGCAGGGCCTCTCACAGTGGATCCTCAGTCTTCCATGCCTAAGCCCTGAAATGTCTTCCACCACCAGTTAAGTTAGGGAAGAGTTGGTAAAACCGTCAAAATCATTGACGTTTCTGCAGGATGCATCCGAGTCCTAACTGTCCTCCTGCTCACTGGGGACCCCAGCAGGGAGGGCACGTGTAATGTTTCCTGAGTAGAGAGCCACCTATGCACATTGTGGCAGGTGGTGGGAGGGAGTGGCCTTCCAGGGAAAGGCCTTGGAACAACTCTTGATGTGGAGTGTGGCAGCTGGGTGTGTGCAGGACCTGGGTCCACATCCTGCCTCCCCGACTCCATGGCCTTGACATAGGGCTAGCCATCTCACCTCTTTGGGATGTGACTGTGCTATCTTGTCATTCACAATGTCTTGAGGTCTGAAAGGAGTACCCAAGTCACACATGGGATTGTGGGGGACTGTCTCAGCTGAGTAGCTGCCATGGACCCTCATCCTGCCCACCTGCCAGGACTCCACAGGACCCAGGACCTAAGGCAGCTTCCACTGCCCCAGGACAATGGCCTCAGGGTGTCCTGGGAAGTCAAGGTGTTTTACTGAGCTTTTCACCACTGTCACTTAAAGACCAACCAGAACAGTTTTAGAGGAGGAATCGTTTATTTGTGCTTCACAGTTGCAGAGGTCTCAGTCTATATATATCCAGTTCCATTCTTTGGGGCTCAGGGTGAGGTAGAACATCATGGCAGAGGAGTGTGGGGGAAGGAAGCAGCTCACAGGGTGATCAGGAAGCAGAGAGAGACTCCACTCTGTAGAGACAACATATATACCCCATAACCATGCCCCCATGACCCCCAAATACTCACTTCCTCCAGCCACAGCCCACCTGCCTCCAATTACCATCAGGGGTTAATTCACTGATTAGCTTAAGGCTACGGGCAGTCATTTCTCCTCCTAAGCACCCTGCATTGTCTCACAAGTGAGCTTTTGGGGGACACCATATCCAAACAATAGCATAAGGCCAGGGTGACTTCCTCTGAACCCTGGCTTTCTTGTTCCTGGGCAGAGCCCCAGGCCACCATCAGCACAACTGAGGGGCCAGCTCTGCTGCACTTAGGGCAGGACTCAGTCCTCCCAACTCCACTGAGACATGTGGGCTCAGGGTTCCCTGCACTACCCTTCCAATTTGGTGGCCTAGAGGGTGAGAAGCTCTTGCCTGGAAGAGGCGGGCTGCCTGGACATCTGTGCTTCTCATGTGAATCCAGGACAAGGATTTAGGGTGCACTGAATGTTTGACCTGAGTGACAACTGAACTGCCAATCAACAAGGATCCTGAGGTCCAGGAGAAGAGGTCCCACTGTAGGACTGGGACCAGAGCTTTCACTTAATCCCAAGCCGCCTTCAATAAAAATATAATTTTAATCAAATGCTCATGGGCACAGTCAGGAGGCATCTCCATGGCAGCCTGCAGGATCTAGGAATCCCAGCTGGTCCTCTAGTCCTGAACACCCCTCTCTCTATCCCCAGCCTGGAGGGGTTGGAGGCCCTCCTGCCCAGGATGGAGCAGAGGTGGGTGAGGAGCTTCCCACCAGGCAGGCTGAGGGCGCCTCTGCTCTCCTCTCACACCTAAGCCTCCATCCTACCTGCTGCCATCCACCTTCCCTCTGTCCAGGCAAATGGGAGAAACCCTTCGAGGTAGATCACACCAAGGAAGAAGACTTCCATGTGGACCAGGTCACCA